GGTGCCTACCTCATAGCATTGTTGTAAGGAATGAATGAGACACTTTATCTTTAGCACTGGCACACAGAACAGTGCCTGGTAAGCATTAGCTATTGGTGTATCACCCTCAGGGACCTCGGCTGGATGCAATGAAAGTTTGTCCTTAAGAGAGAGGTATTTCTATCCTAGTTTATTTCTCAGTAATTCAGTAATACAGTCTGTCTGCTGCAATAGATGTATCTATAGCACCAATTAGCTTATACGTGGTTGGAAAATAGGGGAATGATGACATATAGGATAGAAGCTGTGTTGATTCACGCGCATTTTCCCCCAGGCAAGGGGAGGTGGCATAGCAGAGGAGAATGACAATTTCAGAAGGGCGCAGTGTGGCTTTCGGCTCTTTTTTGCTTTAGATTTTAAATGAACACCTGCACTGCAGCTCCGCCCCCAGAGAAGCACACCCTGGCCTTGTACATCCCAGGTGGCACCTCCTCTGTGCCCACCATCACAGCACCCTCACTGGCTCACAGCACCCGAAGTCAGAGCTTCTGCTCAATTGATTCTGTGCATTTTTAATGTCCCCTGAAGCAGCTTCTGGCCCTTCCGAGCTGCCTGCTTTGGCTGTCCAAGTTACCTCACCAGGTACCAAGCACAGGCCCATCGCAAAGTCACACAGGTTTGCCGAGGCCTGCCCTCAACCTTATTTTTTCCCATAAGCCCCATTACCTTTTACAGAATGTGAGGTTTATCTGGAGTGCATGTCATTTCTGAACAGAAATGCCTGACATCTTTCAAGGGCTGCGGAAAGCAGCAGCAGCCAGAGCAAACATTTGTCCAGGAGCTGAGAAGGCCACCCTGGGGTCGCTTGGATCGTCTGCCAGCACCTCAGGTTGCAAGGGGGGCCCCTCCCCTGGAAGGTTCTGAGGTCCGCAGCCCCTGAAAGCACATTTTCCCAGCCCAGCGCACTAACGTGTGTTGCCTGGGTCCTGATCCTGTCCAGGGCAGCAGAAATAACCACTGTTCTCTGTGTTTCTGCCCTGGAGTGTAGCAGTGTGAATTAGCTAAACATATTCCTGAATGAAACCTTTCTCTTTGCTTTCTTTGAAACTTGTTCATGAAAATGCACTTTGAGTCCCCTTACTTCTCTCAGATTCAAATACTTGCTGCCTCCCTAGAGTTCTTGTGAGAACGTGTTTCTCTCTTTACTGAAGCCCTCACCGCATTCTGTCTCGAGCCATTACAGTGGCATGTGTGTGCATGTATGTTCGTGTGTGCTGTATGTGGATGGGAGTGTGTGTTTTACCTCAGTCACCCTATAAGCTCCTCGTGTTTACTTTCTGTCTATATTTCCTCCAGGTCGCCCAGCAAAATGTCTTTCACATAGTAAGTACTTAATAAATTTCATTAAATGAACGAATCCCTCCAAAGCGTCGATTTTCATCCAGGCACTTTTATAAGGAGTGTCTAATGACTGTGCACTGTGAATTCAAATGCAGTGATTAGAAGACAGTTTCGCGTTAAAAATTTCCTGTGGCATAGTGATTGGAAATTATTCTGGGGAAGTAAGAACCAAAAAGCAATGTAAAAGCACCTTACATGAAATATTTCATTCGTCTTTCTAAAAAACGAATAAGCAGCAGCCAGGAATTACTTAATTTGGCTGCTCTGACAGTTCCTGCTTCTCTTTCCAAGGCCCTGGAGGGCAAACTGTTTCCCAAGGAAAGACCAGTGCAGAGCAAACCTCCAGGTGATCCCTGCTCAGAGAGGGAACTAGCTGACAGATGGACGGGTTCTGCTTCCACAGCAGGGGGGTTATGGGCCTGGGGTCAGAGAGACGGCTCAGCTGCTTTAACTGAAATGCCCGACCTGCACTGGCCCCTTCCTGTTGGTGAGTGTCCAGGTACCTGCTGAGTGTCCTTGCTGCGCAGCCCCCCCTGGACAGGGAGGGGGACAGCGGATGTGAAGGCCTGTGGCAGGGGGTCTATGATGGTTCAATGCGGCCGGAGAGAGAGGGCGAGAACCCCTTTCGAAGACACTGTGGGCTTCATCAGAGAGTGGATTTTTATCGTGAGAGAAACAGAAAGGCACCTGGAGCTTTAAGCAGAGGACTATTACGATCACTGTGTGATCATTCTTGCCAACAGCTCAGTAGCGGAACCGAGGGATCGTCCCCACAACAATTTCCATCAGCACCACCAAGGAGACACATCCTCTAAGTTAGAAACGTGTGCTTGTTCTAGAACCACAGCAGAAGAATGAGGACAGCTAATACTTACTGAAGCTTCCTGCAGGCCAGGCACTATTCTAAGTGGTTTTTTAAAAGTGTGTTAGCTCAGTCTTCACAAGATGGAGACCTAAGGCCACGTGATTAGTAAGTGTTGGTGCTGCGACTTGAACCTATGTAGGCTGCTGGGTCCACAAGCCAGGGTGTCTCCCCCAAGCTGCTCTTATATAGAAATCCTGAAGTCACCGCCAATCCTGGCAGAGTGAACAATGGGTTGGAGAGACCCAGACCGGAAGCAGGGACAATTGTTAGGGTAACTGTTAGGAGAGCCTTGCAATAATTCCGGTGAGACATGGCATTGACAAGAAGCATTGAAGACAGAAATGGAGGGATGTGAGAGAAAGTAAGGTGATAACAGGACTTGATCATTCCAACAAAATGAGAAAATGCACATTGAACACTTAGCACCAAGCCTGGTTCATGCAAATTTTGATGTTTCAAAATACTATGATATTTTTATTATTACCAGTTGAATTCTTCTCTAGGTTGAAGTCATAGCTTCTAATAATAAATTTACAGCCAATGGTTGTAAGTAAATTTTTTATAGTAAAAAGAAATATATGAATTATGGATGATATGTTGTCAAATTTGATATTAAAACAACCCTTTTGTATTAGTTTGCTGGGGCTGCTGTAACAAAGCACCACAGACTGGGTGGCTTAAACAACAGAAACGTATTGTCCCACAGGCCTGGAGCCTGGCAGCCCAGGTGTGGGCGGGGCTGGTTCCTTTTGAGGGGTGTGAGGGAGACTCTGTTCCAGGCCCCTCCCCAAGCTTCTGGGGGGTTGCTGGCAATCTTTGGTGTTCCTTGGCTTACAGATCTCTGCTCTCCTCTTCACATGGTGTTTTCCCTGTGTGTGTGTGTGTGTTTATCTGTGTCCAAATTCCCCCCTTTTTTATAATGACCCCCAGTCGTATTAGATTAGGGGCCCACTCGATTCCTGTATGACCTCATCTTAGCTAATCACATCTGTGACGATCCTATTTCCAAATAAAGTCACATTCTGAGGTACGGGGCGTTAGGACTTCAGAATATGAATTTGGGGGGCGGGTCACACTTCAAACCATAATACCTTTATAGCAGGTAAAGCAGGAATTACTCTTATTCCCGTTTTAAAGACAAAGAAACTGGGTCTCAGAGAGATGCAGTCATTTCCCCACGGTAAATGAATCCCTGGGTGACAAACACAGGTCTTCCGTCTGATCCTGGGGTCAAAGCGAGCCGGACGGTACCTCCTGCTATGAGTGTGTCTAGCTGTTCTCACTTGGACCAGTATGAACTGAGGCTGCTCCAAGGTGTACAAAGGGAGAAGTGGGCAAATGTGGCCACCTTTTGGGATCAATCACAGATGCCCTATTATTGAAAGCTTCCTTCTGCTTATTCCATGGCTGGCCCTCAATGAGGACTTGGCCGCCCGGGGAACTGTTTACTCAAACGGTGTCTTGTATGTCCATTGTTTCTCTACGCTGGGCCCACCCTGAGCCAAGCAGACCGGATACAATGAACCTACTCAGGGCAGAAAGTAAACGCCCCATGCTTCCCTCTCCTCCCTGCAGCATCGTTCTCTGTCTGCCTGCGCCTTTCTTTGGTCCTGCATCCGGAGTGCGGGTGTGGGGAGTATGGGAACTCCAGCGATGCGAGAGTGTGGCCCAGGACACCTGCCTGATGACCCATGCAGCAGGGCAGGCAGCGGCGGGCATGCGCCCCAGGACCGGCTCTACCAGCACACCGGCTCTGACCTGCACCTCCTATTCGGCCTCAGTCACTCTCGCCCGCTAAAGCTGGTGTCCCCTGGGTTCCCCTGGACAGAACGGACGGGCACACCCCAGGTGTGAGCCCTCAGCCCTGGGAGGCAGTGGAGGAAGTAGTCGGGTGCGGATTCCAGAGCAGGTTCTAACCCCGGCTCGGCCTCTTGCCAACCATGTGAATTAGGGAAGATGCTCACCTCCCTGTCATTCCCTCGTCTGCTCAGCTCACAAGGGTGTCGCATGGATAGAGGATATAACCCACACATGGTGCCCGGAACACGTCTGCCACATAATCCTAGCACTCCGTAAATGTAAGCAACACTTCCTTGTTTATTTCCCAAATGTCACATTTGCTCATCTGTTCATCCAAAACTGGCAGGATCCATCACAAGCAGTGAACGATGGCTACGTCTAGATGGTGGCGTTTTTGCTTATTTGTACTTTCGAAACTCTCTGTAATAAATACGTGTTACTTTTTTCATAAGAGAAAGTAAGCTTCCATTGAGCAGTGGACTAGGGATGAGCGGGTACAACATATGGACCTCACACTGTCCTTGGCGGAGTTTAAAGTCTACGGAAGAAGACAGAACAGTAAACTGATGATAGAAGAGACGGGCAGGCATGCTCGGGGGGCCGAGTATGGCACCAGGCCCCCTCAGGTGGCACCTGGCATTAGGGATGTCATCAGTTCTGCCCCAACAGTCTTGGTACATGGTCTTCCCTGATCTGGAAAAGGAAAGTAAGATGACGCACACAGTCAGGTGGAAGGGCCACCCCTTCCGTCTCTCCCGGTGCCCCAGGACGATGGGCATACGCATAGGATTGCTGAGATTCCTTTCTAAGGTGCCCATTTCCAGGAAGGGCTTACATTGAAGAAAAAGCTGAGATGCTTTATGTAGCCATTCTTACAAATGACAGACAGGAGCCCAAGCTGCAGTTTGGCGTGTTAAATGGAATGAAGTGACTTCCTGTTTCTCTCTCCCCACAGCATTATTAGCATCATCATTATTCTGGCGGGAGCGATTGCGCTCATCATCGGCTTCGGGATTTCAGGTATGGGATTTCTCGCATTACCACCATCCATTCACCCCTCACCGTTCAGCCCCTGCCCTATCTGTGTGGTGGGCTGGAAAGGGCACAGTTCTTGGACCCAGAGAGCCTCAGAGAAGAGCCCTGGTTCTTCTACTTACCGATGGTGTTCCCCTCACATTAGCCATTTATTATAACTCCTGGGGCCCTGGTTTCCTCATTTATGGAGTGCAGGAAGTAATGTCTGCATCACCAGGAAGTTGAGGGAATCAGATGGAACGTTTATCAGGGTGTTCTATCTACCAGGCAGCACTGAAGGTATCATCCTGGGGTCAGAGGTCAAGTGCGGGGGCCAAGCCACTCTAGCAATGATTGACCTGGATAGATGACATCTTTGCAACGAAAATTCCCCTGAAATATTAAAGAATATCAAGCCTTTGTACAAAGGGGTCTTGGGTGAAGAGAACACCAGCCATGACTGTTTTTCCAAGTAGGAAACAGGTGCCACTGGGGCATCGATGGTGCGTTTCTCGATGCAGCTAGCTGACGTCATTTGCAAGGAAGACCATTCTCTCTCTTCTTCTGTGTAGACTGTGTCTCGGAAGCATCTCTTGCCACATTAATTAAGATGCTGGGTGAGTTAGGCCAGCAGCTGTCTTCTCTGAGGCAAGTTGTGTTGTTCAATGCATTTTTGCAATGAAAAACAGAAAAAATACGTCATGACTTTTCCAACAACCCAATATTTCCCTTAAGCTGCCTGACTCAGGCCAACACAGTTATTTTAACTTAGTCTGTGGCCAAACCTGTCGCTACACAACTTTTGTTTTATAGTTTCAGTTGCCTTTCTCTCTGTCACTCTCCTACAGTGTGTGTGTGAGGACAAGGCCTAAATGAAGAAAACTCACTGTAGATGTGTTTGCCTAGAAAACACTTAGCGGCACCTTTCTCAGTTCCTTTGTCATCAAAAACGTATATATAGTCTTTCATCCATTTTCCTGTTGGATCGTCTTTTTTTTCTTTTTGCTTTGTAGGAATTATTTCTTCTGGATGCAAATTTAGTTATATGTATTTCAAGAGCTCTTCTACTCTATGGCTTGCTTTTTCACTCTCTTAATGTCTTAATTTGAACATAGTCCAACATATCAATCTTTTTCTTTATATCTGGAGCTTTCAGTCACCTGTTTGGTTAAGGTGGCTTTACCTCTCCCAAGGTCATGAAGATTTTCTTTTAAGTTATCTTGCAGAAGTTTTCACCTTTCACATTTATACCTATGAACTGTCTAGAATTACTTTCGTGCCTGGTATAAGATAGTTGTCAAGATTCATTTGTCCCATGCGGCTCTCCAGGTGACCCAACAGCAGTCACTGAAAACACGTCCTTCCTTCACTTCTCACCAGTGCCATTTTGTCATAAATCAAGTATCCAAATGTGTGTGGATCTGTTTCTGAACGCACTATCATTCTAACATTTTTTTATAATTTGTTTCCTCTTCATGTTATTTTCTGTCTTTCCCTATTCCTAATCTTGGGCATTTTTATCTGTCTGTCTCTCTTTCTCTTTCTTGTCTTAAAGCAGATTTACGAAGTATAATTATTGTCATTGGCATTGTGGTAGTTCTGAAAGAACCAGGTTTTGGTTTTATTTTTACTTCCCTCTGATTGTTTACCTATTTAATTAATTCTGGCTTTTATCTTCACTAAGGTCCCTCTTCCTACTTTGTTTTCCTATTTTTATATTCTTTTTATATATTACAACAAGCACTTCACAAAATAGTATATCCAGCAAGCCATTAAACAGCTTTGAAGTGGGGGCAGCCATCCAGCTTCCCAAAGCGCTCTCCCAGCCTGCCCTTCACCTGGCGTGTGGGAGGCGTCCAGCGCCCCGTTTCCTCGCCGACACCGGCGATGGTGGCAGCTGCTGCGATTTTCACTTCTGTTTCCTGGTGACTGAGGGGGCTGAGTACAGTTTCATATGAGGAAGATAACGTTGAGTGGCAGAGCCAGACACAAAACAGTTCATTCTGCATAATTCCATGTATGTGAAAACAGGCAAATGCCTCTGGTGTTAAAAGGGGCAACACAGCTATGACCGTGGGAAGAGTGAGAGGCTATCCAGCAGGAGTGGGCAGGAGGGCATTTCCGGGGGGTAGGAAAGTTCTAGTTCTCGGTATGGATGGTGGTTCATGGGATGAAGTTGTAATAACTCTTCAGACGACTCAGTTATAATGTGTACATTTTTATGCATTGTATGTAATACTTCAATACACACATATTATAAGTACATTGGAAATAAAATATTGACTGGTAAAGCGCATATATTGGGCTAACTTTAAAAAATATCAATGCATACATTTTGGAATGCATCACTAATGCTTAACTCTTCCTAAACTATAATTGACCCTATTCTTGATCTTATATTCCACCTTGAATTAAAATCCTAGTGTTTGTCCTTCACACTAAATCTTGGTGTCTAGGTTTTTTGGGGCCTAGGGCTAAATGGCTTGGCATCAGAGCCCTTATAGAGTTATCTTTCAGTTGTTAGTGGCTTTAACTACTCTAGCAAGAATTTTAACCTGTGACAGTCAATCTTTTGCTGCTTACACCTTTTCCAGTTGCATAGCCATAGCAAACCTCAGGTACTTGGGTCAGTTCCTCGCATACAGAGGGTGCCCCTTAAGTGCTTTTGGAACAGACAAGTGAATGAATGCATGAAGGGGTAAATAACTAGATAAAAGTTACAGTCTACTCAACCCAACAATATTAAAGCTCTACCACCAACAAAGAGGTTTTCTGCCTCCTTCCTATTTCATGGGATGAAAGCTGGTGATTTTGGATAAAATGGGCTGTTTATTAGTTTAACACTAAACGGATTTTTCTCAGTTGCTTCTATTTAAAGGACCATAATGCTTATCTGAGAGCATCCTATTATCACACTTTACATAAATTCAGTAAAATGTTAGTTGGCTTAATACACAAGACTGCGAAATTAAGCAAATAGCATTAAGTAGATGATGGTATCTTTCAGACCCTTTCTATTATGCCTCACTGTACTAAGTAACTTTGCAGGTATTATCTTATTTCCTGCTCACAACAAGTAGGAGATAAATATTATGACTACGTCCTGATAAGAAACCTGCCTAAGGTGGCATGCAGCTAGCAAGTGGCCACAAATGGCTTCCACACCCTGGCAGATTGCTCCCAGAACCCACACTCCTAACCAGCGCCCTGTATGGACAGGTGATAACATTCACGCACAGTTGTGGTGAAGAAGGGTGCTTTCTGGCTCACCTTGCAGGCATCATTCCTGAGACCACAGCGTCTAAAGACAAGCTATCCCTCAATACAGATAAAGATCTGCCTCTTTTTAACTCTTCTAAGGCTGTAGATGCCACCTCCTCTCAGCCAGCCTACTCCTTACAAATTCTAAATGTGGACCCCATAAAACAGCGGTTCTCAACCTGTGGGTCACAACCCCTTTGGGGGTCGAATGACCCTTTCACAGGGGTCGCCGGGTACTCGTATGTGGGCGTATCTGCATGTGGGCCTGGAGACGATAGAGGAGCGATGTCTGGGTTCCTAAGACCATCAAAAATATGTGTTTTCCGATGGTCTTAGGCGACCCCTGTGAAAGGTTGAGAACCGCTGCCATAAAACATAAACAGCATTCGAGGTAGACTGTTTGGAAGAGCGGTTAGGGGGCTCCCATTGACCCCTGGTTATAGGACAGCCTTCGTGGGCGACCTTTCAAGAAAGAGGGAGACGTAGTGGAAAGTCCCCTGCCCCTGCTTAGCCCAGCCCCTGCGCCATCACTCACTCACTGGATGACTCGAACGGCTCTGTGGAGTGGACGAGTTTAGGAATCACACAGAGATGTTCTAATCTCTGGTCCGACACTAACTGTCTTTGTCCATTGGGATATAACCTAACCTTCCAGAAACAGTTTCCTCACTGGTAAAACAGAGTCATGGGAATTAAAGGACAAAGCGTTCGTAAGTGCCTGACACACGTGTGCAATAAATGGCTGCCACTGCTATTTGTATTGATACCACCAGTGCTAGTAATAGTCATCTGCTACTGTGAATGCGTTCATCCAGCCCCTCCTACAACTTGCCCAGCTTCCTGGCCACACCAGGGCAGGCCCCCTCTGAAGTTAGGGAGGCCAGGGCAGGAAGCCGCAGGACACTGCCTCCTAATAAATGCTCCGCCGTTGGACAATGGATGAAAGTTGCGGTCTACTCAATATGACAATCAGGCATGTGCTTATGGCACCAAAACAGGAGCACTGAACAAATTGGAAAGAATTTGATGTGTTTTTTTTAAATACCAAATAGTAGTCATCTGAGAAAACAAACAGCTTTTGGCCTTTCTTATACTTGTTTTATGGTTTTCAATTGTTTTTACTTTGACATGAGGTGGGGAGACCATTGTAGAGGGTAGGCTCTCTACACATCTCTGTCTGGCTCTGGGTATCAGCAAAACATGGCAGAAAGAGCAAAGGCTTCGAATCCGACAAGACCCCATGACTTACCAGGCCCAGGGCCTCAGGCGAGCCATTTAATCCCACAGAGCGTCTTCATCCTCAGTGATAAAATGGGCATAATGATACTATTCCCTCTAGTGGCTGTTATCAGGCTTAAACTGAGTCATTATAAGTGGTCAGCAAACTGCTCCTTTCTTCCTGGTGCTCTGATCTGCAACCTTTCCTAAAGACTCTAGTTAATAATGGTTATCAATATCACTGACTTAGGTTTCACGTGTGGCAAGTCAGGTACTATTATATATTCATCTCTTTGCCTGCTTTGTACCATTTAGACCTTTCAGGGACCCACTGCAGGAACTACGATTATTAGCATCCCCATTCTACAGGTGAAAAAGCTGTGGCATGAAGAAGTTAGAAAACATGCCCAAGGTCACATACCCAGTAAGTGGCCAGACAGCCTGATAACTGTGCCAGTGTCCCCAACACCAGAGTCTGCTGCTGCTTTGCTACATTGACCCTGGCCCAGATCCTTCCTAATTTCTTC